AAATTTTTGTTTTCTTAATAAAATGTTATTTTTTCTTACAAATTTTTAATTCCAACTTGGAGGTATTATTACCTCCAAAGATTTCGCCACATAATTACAAGATTTTTTCTTGTCCAATTGATTTTGGTATTCCAAAAATTTTGTCATACAGTCGAAAACGCATTTGGAATGTCTGGATACATATGTGTGTACATATAATCCATTTGTTAGGGTATGCAAAATGTTCAGTGTTGGTCTGCCGGATACTTTTCAGGTAGAATACGTATTATCGCTCTCCATATACATAAATGAACACATTTAACACAGCTGGCAGTTGCAAACTTTTCCATTACGGAATCAATGTACCCGAGCCTTTAATTCACAAATCTGATACCACGAATGGATGCTATAAAAACATTGGATATAAAGATGACATTTTCATCCGTTCCCACGACAGTCGGGTCTACGAAAACCGGAACGGACCCGGATTTTTATCCGGCCAAGGACTGTCAACTCGGCAGAATTCTGCCGTTACAACAACAACAACATGACATTTTCATCTCGTTTGATAGAATACACATGTATGTATGTACATATTATGAGGTCACAAATAAGGCTTTGTTCAAATTGACAGTTCCTTGATATTCTTGATATACAATTTATAATTGCGTCCAAGTGACGTTATGGACGATTGGGTTAGAAAACTGGATTAAGGGCATTAACAGAATTGGTTGCGGAGAATTAAAAAGTGCTCGATTGCTGATACATATATCCAAAGGATAATTTTGAGAGCTTCTTATTAAAAGGAAAAGAGTTCAGGAAGACTTTCAAAGAACAATGTCAGCAGAAGATAGATAATAAACAGCGTCTTTTAAGAAATGATATCAGCAGCACTTAATTTGCTTATGATATTCAGGGGAATTCGAGGCATCCTATCAGTGTCCGTACTTCTGTGTTCTGGCGTTTTGAAATTCTTCGTCACATTCTGTTGAGATTGCACATAAGTTGTAAAAACATTTCTTTGTCTTTCACTTAAATGCTGGTGTGCTAAGATTTGTCCTTTGGTCAAAATCGCAGTAGCATGAAGAGTTCTTTCTGATAGCAGTGACATGTAGTGTTGTTGTTATAGCGGGAACATAGTCCCCGTGAGGATGATAAGTTGTCGTCGACGTCATACAACGGTAGACCCAAGAAACGTGCTGTTTCGACGAGGTCAGATTTAAGGGAGGGAGATGTCAGATGACGTGTCCTGTCCTTTTCATTTGTTGTCCTTTTCAATACTCAGCTTCTGTAATATACTAAATCATATAAAATTAGTTTCTCGGTATAGATATGTATAAGCAGTTGCAGTCGCCCGCCACTATTGCCTTTTATGATTTAATTAATAAATATTTATTAGTTCGATTTGAATTGTCGGGTTAATCTGTCTTTATAATTTAACATAACAGACATTTGCGTATACATACATATATATTTACAAAAGCGATTATTTCATCAGAATGTATATACGAACCCGAAATCATTGTAGAAATATATATATGTACATATATAGGTTTATACAATGCCCGAAATCACCACATAAGCTTAGGCTTGAGTCACAATACAAAGATAAGAATATAAGTAGTAGGAGCGACGATATTCTTAAATATATAAGTATGTACATGGAAGTGTAGATATATTGTATAATTGAATAATTAACAAACATTACCAAATTCATATTGATTTTTAATAAAAGACTGCCTGAATTAAAAAGAACATAACACATGCATACATATGTAAATACAGTAAAATTGAATCTCTGCGTTCTTATAATAAAGACATAGTTACTAATGTATTTGGGTTTTAACGAAAATATAGTTTTGGCATAGAAGTATTTTATGAAAAGTCTGATATGTAGATACAAATGTGTACGAGTACTATATGTCAATTGTCCATAGAGAATGGATATTGTCTCTAATTGTTCCGTTTGCATTAAACGGCATTCATTGTAAATTCATATTTGTAGTGGTTTAATTATTTGATTTACATGCTTTTAAAAGATTAATTTGTCCTACAAAGTAAAACTTAGTAATGGTCTAATAAATAGCAGGCCAAAATATCAATCGCACGTGATGATATTGCAATCACATTTTTAAATGCATCTGACGCCTGTTCCTTTCAGCTGTTTCTGGCAGTATCCGTTTGTTTGGCTGTCAAAACAAAACTTCCACTCCCTTTGCTCTTCATACAATTTAAGAAAACCAGAGTTGTATTTCTTTCTCAAACATTCAAACTTTTTAGTTTTGCTTACAGTTTTTAGTCTCCAGGACAACTATTTATTTATTTATAGTCAAAGATAACATTCCGGAAGATTTTATAGTTTTTGCTATTTATTATTTTGTTTCTTCTTAAAAAATACTTTTCCGTTTAAACCAATATCCGTCTGTCCATGTCACTTACGTATGTATGTACATATATACCGTTTTTTTGTTGCAGTGTTGCCGATTAGGTTAACTGTCAATTATGACAGCTAATAATAAAGGTTCGCTCCATTTTACTGCTACGCTACGCGACAGAAATGAAACGAACGACAGACCGAATGTGAATCGCCAGCCTGGTTAGCTGAGTTGTAGCAAAGTACAAAATGGCCACAACACTCCGGCGATGGCTGTGTCGTTCGTCGTTCGTTGCTCGTTGTGTGTCGTACGTGCGCTCGCTCGCTCTTCACTTTAATTAATATTTAACAATATATTTTAATTAATTGAACAAAAGACTCCAATTCAAATAAAACAAAACAAAAATTAAGAAAGTGTTAAAAACACGTTCATTTTAAAACGTCAACCGTTATTAAAACAACAAGAACAACACAGCAAATGCGTAATCGGAATTACAAAAATACTTTTATGTAAATACATTTCGCTTTCATTTTTTTTTTACAATTTTATGCGATTCCAACGAGAATACGATTTTCAGATTTTCACCAAAGCAAAGACACTGCACCAAATCACGGAGAAATAGGACGGTTGAACCGTTTTTCCTAACTACGTATAAAATATATGAATACATATATGTATACTTATATGACTAATCAAAGTGAGATTTAGTTCCACCTTTTTCTTATATTAACAATTACAACACAAATATATAACTTTTCGCTATTTTGCACTAAACTTTGGTATTGTGAGCCTTTAAATTTGTATAAATCGTAATTAGGAACTTGTAAAACAAATTATAAGGCACAGTACAAGTCACAAAAAATTGATGAAAATTCACGGAAGACGGCGACGACAAGAAATTTTCTACTCGTAAGACGGAAGGTCTACGCAGTGAAACGACGACGGTTTCTCGTGCTCGTCGCTGAGCCAAAAATCAACTGTTCCTCAAGTCGCGTTCGAATTGTTCGCTCCGCGAGACGCGGCGCGGCGACGAACTGCGCTCAGTGTCAAGCGGTAACCGCATCAACGGCGTGCAAAAGTCACGGCAACAAATCAAAATCGAAAGATTCATTAGCGCGACACTGCAAACGAGACTAGATCTACGAGTTGCAGAGAGTCAAAAATTCCTCTCCGAAACGAAATTGAAATAGTGCGCCGTGAGAGAAATTGTAATGTGCGCGTGTATGAGTTTATGTGCAGAAAGTTAATACTTTGTAAAAGAAGAAGCACCACGTTCGTTGTTGACGCTGACACAGCGACGTCGGGTTAACTAATATTTTATTATCACTACATATAAATCGCTATTGTTTAAAAAAAAGTACGGTTATTTGTTATCGTTTAGTAAGGTGTTGTTTGAAAATATTTATTATGGATTTTCCAAGGAACTGGGAAATGTAACAATATAAAAATAAAAATAGCAAAAAGGTGTGTGTATCGTTGGAGTCTGGCATAAAGTTCATCGAATAGTCCCACACCCAACGTTTCATTGTGGCAGCGCAACAACCACAGGGAAAGCTGAAAGCGATGACCAATACATGCAACCTTACCAATAATTTGTTAAATAAAAGATTTAAAAAGAGGTGAAGTGAATCTCATTTTTACAAATAACTACTTATTTTGAATTTAAGTAAATTACCTATCGTAAATTGTTTTATACATACATACACATGTAAATTAATGCCGTATGCGTAGCTTTGAGTTGATTTATTGTCTCTGTATAACCTAGCGAATAAGTTGATTGCTCGATGATTCATTGCAGAAAAAATCGGAAAAGTTGCTGAATAAAATTCTTTGTTGCGTTTTGCTACTGAAGGCAAAAAATTGCAGAAAAAATAAATGTAAATTGCATTCTTTTATTTAACATTTAACAATAGGCAACATATATACATACAAACAAATACATTAAAAGCAAGAAAAAAAAGAAACGGAAATGGGACAACAGTTTTATCAATCTGACATTTAGAGAATATACATACATACATATAGTAAATACGCAAAATAAACGTATTGGGAGATGCACAAAAAAGGAAGAAATATATTTTGCTTCTCGTCGTTTCGTACGATTCTCACCAGAACTCGCTCACAGACTGAATGAAAATGAAATTGTAGTATATTGTGTCGCTTTTGCCTATTACAGCCGGAATATGAATGACCAAAGAGTAATTTTCGTATATTGTATTAACGATTTTGAAACAGTTTTACATATGTGTGTGTATATTTTCCAACCATACCTTTGTACTTGTAGTCTCCAGGTGCTCTCCCTGCGCAAGTAGTTTGTCGCTTATCGGATAATTTGTTGCTTTGTCGCTTTCACTAACTGTTTATTGGCATGCATACTTTTGAGAAAATGAGTTTAAGCACACGAGAGAGCAAATGTACACACAGCCATATGCATACGCACATGGATGAAGTCGAAAATATGACGATGGATTTTTCACGAAAAAATGTGAGAGTATTTTATAGTTAAGGTTACTTACGACCGACGATTTCGTCATATATGTATGTATGTAGCTTTGAATTTATAAATTCATATGCAAATACAATTGTACATGAAAAATGATACTGAACAATTAAAATAAAGTCGGTGACAAAATAAGAACAACCATTTTAATACCCACTTCTCTGTTGCTTTCTTTATTTTCGAGGAAGAACAGTGATTACATTCCACAAGTCTGCTAGACAACTAAATTACGAATACTGTGATGTCTCAATGGGCTTGTATAGACAGTTTAATTAAAAGCTTTGTGCTTATCCTCGGTTGACCGATTCCGATTTTTCGGAAATATTTATTCAACTGTAAAATTCTGGGGCTTAAAACTTGTGTATATTGATACTGATTGGTGTTATCGCAGTACAAATCATTCTCATTAATTTTTCTAAAATAAACTGCAGATAAACATATCTACATAGATATGTACATACATAAGTCAAGTCCCCTGCGCATATTTGTGATGTCTTATTTCGTGCTCTTGCCGTATAATCAGTATGTTGTAAATATACAAAGGCCGAAATAAAGATGAAAACAACAACAACAAATATGTATGTATCTTACGAATAGCAGAAGGAACATTCGTACATTCGCACACTTCCACCATAAATACAACGGAATAATTAAAGCTACGCGACGCGACTACAGAGTGACTTGTAGCTAAAGTGGTATGGAGGGAGACGGTAGAGATAGAAGAATTTTTACGTCAACCACACCGTTTTGGTGTTAACAATAAGCGCAGTACATCCCCTCCAACGATTTTGGCGCTCTGTTCGCTGCGTGTACACACGCCGCAGACGACTAAACGTAACGTTCAAATAGAAACTCAGCCATGAGTATGAATCGGAACTAGCAAATGTGGTTCGGATCGGCAACGAACTCCACAACAATAGCATTTCATTTCAGGTTAATCATTTCGATTAGAAAGCTTGCGTCGCGACGAGAGCGAAATCGACTTTTGAAGAGCACAAATTGCAGTCGTGCAGAGCGCACTGTTGTAAGCGCATTAGATATGTATACCAAATTGTTTATGTGTGTATGTATATTTATGCATTTACCTATGTTGGCTTTCGTAGGGCCATCTCACATACTCGTGCTATGGCAATACTACTTTTATTTAATTTTCTGCAATATATTAATTTCTTACTTAAACGTACCCTAAAGTTTGTGGCAATTAAAATTGTAGTTAACAAGTATAATATTTATAATCGCATGCATTACTTTGCAATTTTCGCCGTTCTCTCTTTGTATGAGAATGCGCGATGAAGAGCTTAAGAGAGATATTTTGAATTCAATCTAGTGATGTAATTATCTACAAAAGGAAGTCGTTCGCATACCGATTTTGTTATTTATGAGGGCGTGTGCATTTTATAAATCAAATACAAGATTAGAAATGTACATATAATTAATGTTTTCATTCGATGTTGTAATGTGAAACAAATTGTTCGTATAGTAGATTCAAAAAACAAAAACGGAAATTTACATGCGTTTACGATAGCGATGAATTGTAAATATTCTAATCAAAATTCGGATATTCAAACTTTTTAGTTATTTGTATACATATGTATGTATGCATGTATGTATGTATGGTATTTATTCACTGTACATATAAACAGTTCACATGTTTTTTCTAAAGAAGATTTTATCACTATCACGTGGTTCACAAACGCACGTGTTTGCCATGCTTAGACAAATGTAGAGCTTTTGTTGGAGAATCAATATAATTTATACAATAATATCGAAAATTGTTGTTATTTTAAAATGCCTGTTAAAAAGTTCCATTTTCCGTTCTGTTTGCTCAAAGTGTTCTTTTCTTTCTTAGCCAATCAGCTGTTTAACTTCCCCAAGTAGAAAAAAAAACTACTTGTGTAGTGTATGTATGTACTATATAGTTTTATGTATGTATGTATATTTATTTATTTTCATATATTGATATATGCATGATTATTCTTATTTGTAAACATAAATATTTATAAAGCGTCAATTAATCAAAATACCATAATATTTTAGTTGGAAATGCTTGAAAATATTTTAGTTCTATTTTACATCTGATTTATGTACATATATAAACAAGTAGAGTTAAATAAACAAATAATTCTTTAATTTATTTAAGTGCTTATGTATGTATGCAAGTTTATACATTTGTTATGTGATTGACATTGTGTGATGTGGCAATTAGAAATCACTTAATTTTTATAAATAATAATAAGTGTTTGAATTGAAATTGAACCTCAAAGATAGATTTCAACATAAACATTCAAAACCGACTTGGAATGGAGCCGCTGAACAGGATATATTAAGTTTGTCACGAAGTTTGCAACACCCAGAAGGAAGCATCGGAAACCCTATAAAATATATACATATATAAATGATCAGTATGTTGAGCGGAGTCGATTTAGCCATGTCCGTCTGTCTGTCTGTCCATCCGTTTGTCCGTCTGTTTGTATATATGTATATGAACTAGTCCCTCAGTTTTTAAGATATCGTTTTGAAATTTTGCAAACATCATTTTCTCTTCAAGAAGCTGCTCATTTGTCGGAACTGCCGATATCGGACCACTATAACATATAGCTGCCATACAAACTGAACAATCGGAATAAACTTCTTGTATGTAAAACTTTCACATTTGACAGTGTATCTTCACGAAATTTTGTATAGATTATTTTCTAAAACAACAATGTAATGCCCGAAGGAATAGTTAAAATCGGTTAACTACAGCATATAGCTGCCATACAAACTGAACTATCGGAATCTAGTGCTGGTATGTAAAACTTTTGCATTTAACGTGATATTTTCACGAAATTTGGTATAGATTATTTTATAAACTATGTAATCTCCGAAGAAATTGTTCGGATCGGTTAACTATAGCATATAGCTGCCATAGAAATTGAATGATCGGAATCAAATGCTTGCATGGGAAACTTCCTCATTTGACAATATATGTTCACGAAATTCGGTATGAGTTATTGTTCATATAAATAATGTAATATCGGAAGAAATTGTTCAGATCGAATTACTATAGCMTATAGCTTCCATACAAACTGAACACATTGTTTCTAAAAGAAATGCACATGTGAAGGGTATATTAGGTTCGGTGCAGGCGAAGTTAACGTTTTTTCATCAAATATTCTTAAGATTACATATCAAGCATGAAATTTGAACCATCCATTTTACGGTAATTCCATTAAATCGTTTCCGCTCGCATTGTGCGAGGCACACATGTCATTATGTTGACATTGCCAAATAATTCATTTACACTTGAATTAATGGAAGTGCTTAAAAACTGAAAATTATCTAACACGTTTAAGTCAATGTTATGCTCGAATTTATCAAAATGTGTTAACTGAACAATAACTGAGTAAATATGGCGGCAAAAGTGAGCACGATCAGTTGCAACTTGTTTTATTTTGCAAATATTAAATTTACGGCCACGATTATATGTACATATGTATGTGGAACTGCACATATACATACATACATATGTACATAAATACGCTATATGTACATACTTTTGTTAACATAGCGACAATATACCACCACCCAACAACGTCACAACAATCGGTCATCCATTGTGCTGATCTTTTATGTTGAATTTAAACACGATTCTGTACGACGGAAGCCGAAATGAAATTCATAACGCCGTAGCAACGGGCACCTACGTTGCATACATTTATAAACATATACATATGTACATACATTTATGTGTGTACATGTGTTTTAATGTATAATTTTTTCGCTACGCTTAACGTGCTCACCTTTTCGTCGGCAGCAGCGTCAGAAAGGTACAAAACAGCTGTTCGGGGCAGGTGTTTATTCACACTATTACAAGCAAGTTTTTGCTACCCTTTTATTTTCTTCAATACATCTGGTTTCTTTCTTAAATGTTTCTATGTGAGTGAAATTGTGCACTCGGGGCATGTGTGCATCGGCTGCAGTATTTACGGATGCAAATAAATGTCCACAAGTGAGGAAAACCGATTTGTGTAAGGACCTTATCCCATATACATACATACATATGTACATATGTATATAGAAATGTATAAAAGGTAAAGGAATGCATTCATATGGATGTACATACATATGTATGTAGCT